CTTCGTCCATCTCGTCTTAGTTTGCTGATTTCCGTGGAAATGAAGGATTGTGGTAAGGAAAGGAAGCAGATGCCTGGCCTCCATGGTGTGCAGATTCTCATGTCGTGGCGGGATGAGGAAGGAGTTAAGCAAGCCCAGCTGCTAAGTGACAGGCCAGCAGTGGCACCCACCACGCTCTGAGGGAGAAAGATGTGACAGTGTGCTGCAGTAGAAAGATTCACCGGCTTGGGGATCCTTGGGGCGGTTCTGCTCTGTCCTGTAGGGTCACCGTGAGTGGAATTGGCTGGATGGCAACGGGCTGGTTTGGGTTCAGGCATGAGGGTGGGCTTCCCTTGCTGCTGGGGTTCTGAGTGCTTGATGCATTCACTGTGAGAGGGCGAGAGATGAGCGTGCCATCCCTCACCGAGCAAGAGGAAGCAACAGTGAAGGCTGCTGCCGTCTTGATGGATTTTCACCAGGACCTTCCTCTCACCTTCACATGAAATCTTAAGTCTCTCACTCCCCGACACACAGTTTTCAACATTTCTGGAGTTTTTCAAGTTGCCTGATGAGGGAGTAATTACTGTATCATGCTGCCCCTGCCTTGGCCCGGCCTCTACTTCTCCAACCTACCCCCACCCCCCACCCCACCCCCGGCACCTCCCTCTTCTCCATCTGTATACAAAGGCACTGAAATTCCAAGTTTTCCTCTGATCCCTGTACCATTTTGATTCTCCTCTGGTGAAGTCAGCAGGGAGTGGAGTGCTTACTCCCCTGTCTGTTACAAAAAAGGAAACCGAGAAGCGGTGAAGGTAGGTTGGCTTGTCCATGGTCCCCCAGCTAGCTGATGACCAACCTGGGATAAGAACCCAGGGCTCCTGAATGCCGCCATCAAGACAGCCCATACTCACGGGGTCCCATGCACACGGGAACAAAACGCTGCCTGCTCCGTGCTGTTCCGTGACTGATCGCAGATCGAACCATTGTGGTCCGAAGGATTTTCGTTGGCTGGTTTGCAAAAGTACATTTCCAGGCCTTTCTTCCTCGTCTGTCTTCGTCCGGAAGCTCTGTTCATGATCCTGGCAGCATGCAGCCCGCCACTGCCAGATGGCTGGTGGGTGCACATGAAGTGCACTGTCTGGGAACTGAATCCAGGCTTCTTGCAAGGAAGGTACAAGTTCTAGCACTGAACCGAACTTTGGCAGCAGTACTCCACCCTCAGCACTCCTCCTCATACTCCTGTCCTCAGGACGGTCTCACAGCGCTTACAGTCTTTGCCATGCTGTAGCCTGGCGCGCAGCTGGAGGGCATGTGGCTAGAGGGAGAGCGCAGCAGAAGGAATGGCTGTCAGGAAGAGGAGCGCAGGAGGAGGGAGCCTTCCGAACTTCTCTCCGCGAGAGGAAAGGGAGGGACTCAGACATGGCCTCTGCTATTGGCTAGGCACTGTAAGTAGATCCGTGATTGAGTGTGTGTGTGTGTGTGTGTGTGTGTGTAGTGTAACGTGGGGCAGAGGACTGCTCATGCAGGACAAGCCATCGCCAGGGACCGAGAGCTGGTGTGTGGCACCTAAGGGGCCCACACTAAGGTCTTAGCCTAGTTATAAGTAGTGTCCCTTGTGAGCACTGTCCTTTTGGGCGAGGTCATACAGTCAGGGTTCAGGACAGAGATTCTATTTGTGTGGGTTTGAATCCGGATTCTTGCACATACTAATTAATTGGGTGACCTAGGGCAAGTTGCTCTCTGTATCTGAGTTTGTCCCCGTATTGTAAGAGTGGGAATAAGCCTGAAGAACTTAGAATAATAGTTCACAGTGTTGAGTAGAGTGATTCTCCTCCATTCTGCCCTCACTTCTTTACCTCGTAGGCATTCAGAGTGCGTGTACCTGTGTGTAGGTGTGCATTTTAACAGCTTTGCTTGCAGTCTGCTTTTCCAACCTGCCTGCTGAGCCCTCCAGGCAACTGTAAGCTCATTCGGGTGTTAGCTGTGAGCTCCTTCTCCATTTGTCCTGTTAGTGTGATGGCGGCTCCAGTGCAGCAGAGACCAGCAGGTGTGCAGTGGGCTGGAGGCAGCTGTGGCCCTTAGCCAGGCTTAAGCAGGACACGAGTGTTGACAGCCCACCTTCACCCTGAATCACCCAGTGAAGAAAGCCAGGACGTTCAGCCTGTGTCTTCTCTGGCTTCATGTACTGTGTTGTTTGCTAAACAGACCTGTTGCCTTTGTGCTGGAGTGGCCAACAGGTGTTCATCTCCCCGCCTTCTTGAGGTTTAGAATAAAGGGAGTGAATGAAGAGGAGGAGATTACCGTACATACTCGAGTATAAGCCGACCCAAATATCAGCCGAAGCACATAATTTTACCACAAAATCTATATTAAAAATGTGCTGGAATTCTATGATGCTCACCTTCC